AGTTGGAGGGTCATAAATCGACCTCTCGTGCATGTAAAAAGTTTCCAAGTGGTTAGATTTCACAAGATTTGACAATCTACTTAATTATTTTTTATTCATATTTGTTATTTAGGGAATGCTGAAGAATATTATTGAGAAAAAATGTATTTTAAATAGTGATATGATAGAAAATATGTGATTAAAAAGTAAAGAAAAGTTATTGATGTGATTGAAAATATTATTTTCTTGAAAAATGGTTGGTTAAAAATGAATTTTGAAAGAATTTGTGTCCAACCGGTGCTTAATATGTCGATATGACATTTGAAATTATTGACAATTTTTTGTCAAGGACATCTAGAAAAGAGTGAATCTTTAACACTCGTGTGTATGTGACATAAATGTGTGTTAGTGCTCACAATGATGGAAAAGAAGTATTAACTTATTTAATTTTGACGATCAACTTTGCTTATGAAAATTATGCACTATAAATAAAAGAGTAATATTATTTAGTCTCACCGAAATTGCAACAACAATCTAGGTTACAGTAAAGTGACATTAAATGATAAGTTAAATTAAATGACTCATTTATTTATCATATCATTCAGTGTCACCTAAAATGGGATTGCAAATTCAATAGGGTCACGTAACATTCAGGGCCGACCCTGGCCCAAGGCTAGTAAGGCGACTGTCTTGGGCCTCAAATTTTATGGGGCTCTAAAAAGAAAAGCCCAGAATTTTCCCCAATCCCAAACCCCTCAAATCCCTTAGAAGAAAGAACCCACCGTTTTTCTCCCCAATCATTTCTAACCTACTCCAAGAAATTCTCTCTATTTTTCTAACCTTACACAATGATTCATATTTTTCATTCATTGTATGCGCCATAGATATGCAAGATTCAAATTCAATTGCTCTGGTTATGAACGATTATCTGGAATTCTTTTGTGTGGTAACCGTTAAATTGCTTCATCTATAGATAAATCAAAATCAAGGTTTTACAGGTTGGCATTTTCCTATTCGTTTGTAGGATTTTACAAAATTGTGCGTTTTATTAGTCATTGAGTAATTCATTTCACTGGTTAATTTTCAATGTAATGGAAATTATCCATTGAAATTCTAAATTTGCAAAAAGCATTACTTATTTGATGTTTCATCTTCACTATACATGTGAAAGTTTCTGGATTTTCCATTCCTGCACGTGCTCCTCTCAAGTTATTCCATTTTTTCATAAAATTTTGGTCTAATTTACGCCACAACCACGTCACATATAAGATTTTAGTTATCTGCTTGTAATGTCACTACATGATTCTGCCAAATTAATCATTTTTTTATATGGATTTTGGTCTAATTT